ATATATATATATATATATATATATATATATATATTTTTTTTTGATATACGCGATACAGCCCGATTATGAAGAGAAAATTTTTCTTCTTTCGTGTAACAATTTCGAATAGGCGTATGTTAACTTCTAATTTTTCTCTCACGATATTCTGCGATACAGGAAAAATCCGCTCGACAGAGGTGTCCAATTTGTTTCCGGTGCGGATTTGATTTGGCCGCACACTCGGAGAACATTCGATCGCATTTCCGAACAGGAAGTCGAACACGCGCATATAAAATGCATCGAATAATGATTCTATTCGTTGCCGTCTGCTGACAGAAAATGTCCATTAAGCAAATATATAAACGGTCCTTTTTAAAGATACATAATGTATATTTTCGTTCAATTTGGTGAATATCTTCGACGCTATTTTCATACGCGGTTGTAAAAACCCTTTGTAGAGCAGCGTAACGTTTCATTATTTTTCACGATAAAATAGCGCAGCTCGCCGTCGATTTTTCCACAGTCAGGTATCGACGCGAACGTCACGTTTTCGTTGTTATTAAAACCTGTTGTTTTGTTTACACGTCCTTGTGATCAACGGCGATAAACAAGCGTTTTCGCGGACGAATATCGACATTTTAAACAAGAGACTTCGATAATGGCGATGCAAATCTGACGCTCGACTTGAACAGGAGAAAGTTCGGAACATGGTTTGTTTGTACCTCTTTGTATCTCTCTTCTTCAAAAATATATTTGGTCGTTATGAAACAGAGAAGGAGAGAGAAGAAAGGAGAGAAATACCTTAAAAAAATAACAACGGTGCTTTTTTGATGGATTTTGAAAAGCTCCGATCGCGTCGAGGTACAAATAAGTTACAAAAGATGTTCGCTCGAGGATTTTCGATTCATTTGTTTTTCTTTTCGATTCATTTTTACCTCGAAAGCTTCGGAATTACGACATTCTAAAAATCCACCAAAAGGACATGCTCTTTGTCATTTTATGTATGTGTACATTTTTAAAGATATATTTTTTATATTTTACATATTTTTTAAAGATATTTTAAAACAACCAACGGTATTTGAAATGGGAAGCACGCAAATGGGGGCATACATTAATTACGTTGTAAATTTTTTTGCCCACGGACGATGTTAAATTTTAATTAATTTCGATAACAGGGACGAATAGATCTCGATAATTGCTCTTTAAATTTCTTGGAGTGAAATTTAACTCAAACAGTAGAGTGATCATCGAATTCGAGTAATTTCCCGCTCATATAAAGTGAATTTTTTATCCTGAATCGCCGAGTGGATATTTTCTCTCGAAATTGAATCCGATGTACTCCACCATCAGAGGAACATATTCGCTCTAATCGACTGAAATATCCTCTCGTATGGAGTCGGAATCCACTCTAAACTTGAGTGAAACATCATCCACTCTTGCCACTCTTGCCGAGTGGCAGTATTTTCACTATCGCCTCGGGTGAAAATACCGTCGCTATTGTCTTGTTCGAGAGTCCGTTCCAAGAAATTTACAGAATACAAAAGCACGTAACTCCAGTTCCACCATGGCGTTACGAATCGTAACGACAGGTGCGCGAACGGATGATGAGGTTTATAATGGACCTGCTTGATTTCGTGTTGCAGAAGAGACCAACGTCCAGCTACCGCAACCGCATCGAGCAACGAGACTCGCCGAGTCGAGAGAAACACTTGCCGAGGTTCACGAAAGATTCCGCGAGACCCATTCTCTCGCGCGCGTCACCTCGCTCGAATATTCGTCCAAGAGGCTACTCTACGTCGAGCGACTGTCGCACCACCATCCTCACTACCACCATCGCCATCGTCAACACCGACACCTTCGGCGTGCCCACGGAATCGAGCGCGCGCTGCAACACGCCGCGCGATAAGAGGACGACGGGCTCTACTAAAGTTCCGATCTCCGAAGACCGATCGGCTTTGTCGGGGCCGAGATCTCGAGGGCTCTCTCTGCCGCGCGTCGACGTCCGACCGAGAAAAGACCCCTCTCGAGGACTATCACGACTATCTCCGGCGGGACGAGAGATCGCCCCCCGCGTTCGTGCGAGTCGTCGCTGCTGCCGCCGCCGCCAGTGTCCGGGAATCCCGCGTGATCCGCTCTCCTCGATCAAACTCGATCGGTCGTCGCGCTTAGATCGATCGTCGCGCTCCGCGGGGGAAGAAACGCCGCGAGGAATCACACTTCATCGTCCTGCTCCTCGCCGTCGTCTCTCCTCGTGGTGGACATTAAGATCGAGTCGCGCGATAGGCAGCCTCGAGATCATATCGCGAGAGCTGCTCCGTGGATCATCATCCACCTCTGCCGCGATCGGATTCTCGGTATCGACGTTCGTTCTCTCTTTCTCTCTCTTTCTCTCGCTCTTCCGACAAGAGGCGAGAAACTAGACGCGTGCTTCGCGATCGTGAGAGATTTCCATCGGCGTGAGTTTCCGTAATATCGCCCCGCGACCATCGTCATCGTCCGTGAGCCGCGTTCGAGGATGCTAACGTGGTCGTCGTGGTCGTCGTCGTTATCGTGTCGACGTCGGAGTGCGTGTTCGCGTCGTGCCGGCCGTTTCTGAAGGTCGATGAGCGTGATTCGGTGCCGGGCAAGTGAAGGCTCTTCAATTAAACTCGTGCGTGGCGGCGTCGTCTACGTTGCGTTGCCTAGGCGACGGATCGCCCAGTTAGGAGACCCGAACGAGAGAGGCGGCCAGCTGTGACCGGCAGCCACGCGGTGGACATGATTATTTCAAAGGATCTGTTCCTCCTTGGCGACCAGGATTATCTGCGCCTTGCCGTCGAGAAGCGCCAGCAACGGGCAATGGGCCGGTCGATCATCAATGCTCCCAGGTAAGGCTCAACGATTCTGATTGAAAAAAGAAAAACTATAGTTTAATGAGGATCGTAGGTACACAAGCGAAAGACAAAGAAATAAAACCTGGTGCAGGTTGTTTTTTGCGAGATTTACAAATTTATTCATTAGGCTAATGGTCCAATGTAAAATATAATTGAACGTTTCGATCGTGTTTTTTATTATGATTAGGGCGCTTTGGAGATTGCGCCCCGTATACATTTTCGGATATGTTAGCGACGAGGTATATTCTAAAAATGTTTTGGAATAAAATCTCACTATAATTGTTTCGAAAAATATTCCAGAAGTATGATAAAATTTACATCATCTTTATTCATTTAAAACATGTAATATAACATAAAAAAGAACTTGCATTGGATTATTAATATGTAGAAATGAAATGTAGAAAATAGAAATGCAATATAAAAAGTACAGGATCAATATAAAATGAGTAATTGATTTAACTTAACTTTAAACGAATTTTGAGAAATACTAAAAAAATCAATAAAATTAGAATATTTATTAGCCAGCAAATATATATTATTTGTAGGCGAAAGCTTCTCATACAAAGTATGGTGACGCGACACATAAAAAATCGAACTTCCTCAGAAAGCCCTCCCTGGAGCCCTAATTCTACTAAGATTTAATAAAACAGGGGATTCAATGCGTTCAACCAAAACGTTACGATGAAACAAAATCCGATATAATTCTCCTATTTTCAAGAGATACCACGTGGAACTCACGTTGGAAAAAAAATCGTGGCAGTAAATCGACATAGGACGTCTTATATGTAAACAACAAAGTCTTCGAATGAAAAGGTGTTGATTCGATCTAACAGCATATATGATATAGATGACACTCTCATACCTCAAGTAAGGGCATACCAACGAAAAATATAGTAGTTTTAATATATTCCCACTCAAGTATTTACTATATCGGCAAAAGAAGCTCAACGTATGCTTTAGAAATAACTTTACTAATGTATATCTCAAAAGACAAATCCAAACTGGACCATATGCCGAGATCCCTAATTAATTCAACTATTGACAGAGGGGAGCTCAGGAGATAATAATTGTAAATATATAGGTTTTTTCGGTAACTTTCATAACATGACCTTTATCTAAATTTAAATTAATTCTATTATTCAGACACCATTGACCAAGATTATCCAAATCCATTGTTACAGCTATTTCTAGCTGTTATTTGAGGGAACCGATTATGTGTCATGAATATCAGCACAGACTATGCTGTCCTTAAAAAAGAGAAGAATACTATTTGATCTTTTATTCATTTATAATATTTTTAATAATATTAGATCGTATGTGGCTTAAATATATTAGAGCTAATACAACGTTTCGCTTAGAACTTTAAGAAGGTACTCTCTTTTTCATGTTACAAAGCATCTAACACTATATGATTTGAACTCCGACATTAATAGATTATGTATAGTGTTTCTGTTGATCTTTTTCATGGTATTTTATTTAAATTGAAACGTTTATTAATAAGTATGATCTTATAAACACCTTCTATTTGTTCTTTATTTCGTTTTACTTAGTTTTCTTTATATTTATTTTTTTCTCTATTCTATTTATATTATTTTATTAATTATTTTTTTATTTTTTTTATGTCCTTTATCTTCCATAAAATCTAATTTTCTATCTATTTCATCTGCGATTTATTTTTATTTTATTAATATATACTAAAAATTATTATTAGTAACAATTATTATTATTATAAAATACTGGTGGACACGCATTGTTCCGAAAAATAAAAAATTTTAAGGCTTGAAAACTGGAACAATTTCTTGAAAAATCATAATACCGAAATTTGGTGAACGAGTACCTTGAAATAACCGAAGAGTTTTACTTATGCGAGTGAAAAATCACTGAAGTGACTCGACTGTCACTTCACTTTTCGAAATGAGAAATTTCATTGTTGAAAGTGTCCCGTGGATGGATTTATCGCGCGTGTATTGTCGGAAATTTTCGCGAATATTGTTCGTATTCGGCAAGACGCTTCAGGAAGAAGCGCTTTTTCGGAATCGCGAGTATCGGTAAGAACGTCATAGATGATCGAAGATGTCCAGAGTAAGCGGCTAACTGCGACTTCCTAACTTGTCACACGGAAGGAAAGATCGGTCTCGACCTTTCCGAACGGTGCCCGAATAGATCTGGGACGCCCGAGTTGTGTTGTACGCGTAAGAAAGATACAGCAAGCTCCGAATTTACGTGACACAACTCGAAGTGAATTTAAATATAGGCCGGGCGATAAGTATTGTTTCCCCTCCCTCCCCCTCTCTTTCCTCCACGGTGCGGCGAGACGTCTTTGGTAAACCGCGGTGGAACAGCAACAGAAGCAGCTCTCGAGTAACACCGAACGCGCGATGTTTTCTCCCGTCTCGGATTTTTACTCGTTGACGTGGAATCTTCAGTCGCTTATTCGATCTATTTTATATATATATATATATATATATATATATATATATATATATATATATATATA